TCTATTGTCCTGATAGACAAACGAAGTTTGTAGAAACAAGACATGCTGTCTTCTTGGAGGATGATATGATTAGAGGGAGCATGGTAGCGCGAGAAATTAGTTTTAAAGAGAAGCGGGTATACGTGCCCACTCTAGTCTCATGTAAGGATTCTTTTAGAATCATAATGGCGCTTGTAGCCCATCACGACTTAGAATTACATCAGATGGATGTAAAGACGGCGTTCCTAAACGAGGATCTTGAGGAAAATGTTTACATGGCAAAACCAAAAAGTTTTGTTGTGAAAAAAAGAACATATGGGATGCCGCCTAAAGAAATCCATTTACAGATTAAAACAAGTTTCAAGATAGTAGTATTTGAAGTTTAATAGTACAATAAGAAAGTTTGGGTTTCAAAAAATATAGAGGACAATTGCTTTTATGCAAAGTTCAAGAATGGGAAATACATTTTCCTAGTCTTGTATGTGGATGACATCTTGCTCACTAGCAGTGATGTTAATCTACTACTAGAAACAAAGAAGTTCTTGTCCTCAAAGTTTGATATGAAGGATCTTGGTGAAGCTTTATTCGTCCTAGGAATAGAGATTCATCGAGATAAAGAAAAGGAGGTTTTAGGATTATCACAAAAGGCATACTTAAAAAAGTTATGAAGAAATACAGTATGAAAAATTATAAGTCTTCACCTACTCCCATAGTCAAGGGTGACAGATATGGAGAATTTTAATGTCCCAGGAACCAATATGAGATCGATCAAATGAAAGCGGTTCCATATAGTTCAGATGTCGAAAGTTTACAGTATGCTCAAGTGTGTACTCGCCCTGACTTAGCATTTGTTACCGGGTTGCTTGACAGATATCAGAGTAATCCAGGAATAGAACACTAGAAAATAGTAAAGAAAATTCTGCGTTACCTGCAAGGTACGAAGGGTCTCATTAGAAGATCTGATTCCCTGCACATAGAGGGGTATACAAATTCTGATTATGCGGGAGATGAAAGAAAGTCCACATCAGGATACATATTCACTCTCGCAGGAGGAGCTATATCGTGGAAAAGCTCAAAGCAAACCATTACTACATCGTCCACAATGTATGCTGAGTTTGTAGCATGTTATGAGGCCACATGGCAGGTGAATTGGCTAAAGAAATTTATGTCCGGGTTGAAAGTGGTAGACGACATACATAAACCACTCAAGTTATACTGCGATAATAATCCAGCAGTATATTATGCACACAACAATAAGTCAAGTGGTATTGCCAAACACATTGACATAAAGTATTATGTTATGAAAGATAAAGTCCAGGATCATATAATTAGTCTTGAGCATATAAGAACAGAAAAGATGCTCGCGGATCCGCTTACAAAAGGCTTACCACCCATCGTGTTCAGAGAACACTTAGCCGACATGGGTTTAAGGGAAAGCTTATGATTTCTAGACAATAAGGGTCTAGTTGAGAATCTGTTTCAAAACAGAAAGATGCATTTATAGCTGTTTAATTTAATGACAACTGACCGTGACGATGAGGCACGCTCTATGCACTGATCTTTGATGGAATAGGAACAAGATAAAGTAAGTTGAGTTTAAGTCATAAGGTGAGATCATGAGGAAGAATGTTAGTTGATCTCTATCGATCAATTGGGCTCTTGGATCCGCGTCCTGATTGAGGGCGCCTAACCCTACATGGTTGGTGGCCCCCATCACACTACACTATAAAAGAAAAGTGGGGACCGGCGGCTCAGATCACAAGGTTGAACGAGCTACAGTCGCCCCATCGACACAACCCTAATCCGGTCTAAGAGAGGGTGCGCAGCTAGTGACGGAAAGCACCGTCACCGGCCAACGCCGCCACTGCACCGCCGCCCTTCGACACTGCGCCTCCACCGAGTCTTCACCAAGCGCCGCGATGGCCAGCTCGTCTTCCTCGAAGACGGCCGATGGTTTGCACTTCTTCCACCCCTCTTCCTCTCACTCTATCTGTTAATCCCATACTGGTAGATGTTATATGACTCGTTGTTTACTCCAAATACAAGTACACATACTAGATCTATGGCTAGTGATCCTGTACTATTTCTATCAAAGCTGTTTGCGATATACTAAACGAACGATACTGAACACGACATCACGGTGACATCGATCCACTTAAGGCCTTTTCGATGTTATCGGATTCACCTCAATCCAGGTGTGTTGGAGTGGACTATAATAAAATTTAGTTTCTGTTCTACTCCAATTCACCCTAACAAGTGTAGATTGATGTAAATCTGGCCACATCCAAATAAGGTCTAAGAAAACTTTTGAAAATATGGTTTCATGACTCGTGACTCATGAGAGTATGAGATGGAGAAAAGGAATGGCTTATGCTTTGTCCTTTTTGAAATTGCGTCTCTCAACCTGTTTGTTGGTTAGTTTCTGAGCTGATAAAGTCGGTTGATGTTAGTTTATTATGAGAGAAAAATATTATATCATGACCGATAAGCCGTGAACGAACAGGCTGTCTGGATGCTCAGATGGTGTTGGCACGACTCCTCCGATCCAGCTGTGGAAATGGTCGTCGCTCTTTCAAATCATGGATGCACGCCTCGTTGAATGAGCCTATACATATAGATGGTTCTGATCCGGAATGGCTTAACTATTTTACTGAAAATTTCAGGGGAAAAGAATACAATTCCACCAAACAAACCACTTCAAGATTCGTGTGGTTTAGAGTACTAGTTTAGTGGTGGACAAGAGTACTAGTGCAGTAGCGTTGCTTTTCAAAGTGTACTTCCTTTTTGCTGGGAGATTGAGGAGAGTGAGCTCCCCACGCGTTTTGTTATCTGAAATTTCTGCTAGGAAGGAAATAGGAAACGAAAAATCCACAGCCACATGCACCGTCCTCTCCAGCTCTTGGCTCTGGTGGGGTGAGGTGGGCTTCCCGCTCTAGCTCGCGACTTCACCACACCACTCGGCTGTGCTGTGTCACTGTGTGTTGGCCTTCTGCCCTTCTCCCTCCCGCGCGCCACAGCCACGCGGTCAGCCGCCGCGCCGCGAGCCACCACTGGGCACTGGCTCCACCCTCGACCGCTCGTGCGCTCCCGTCAGGTGCTCGCCATTTCCTCCATCTCCAGTCTACTTCTCTACTAGTAGTATTTCTCTTCCCGATAGCGTATATGCTTTTGGGTGTGGGGGCGCGGGCGGCGGTGACGCGGAGGGAGGCCGCAATAGCCAGCACCCAGCAGCCGTCGAGGGCTCGATCGATCGTTGCTTGTTGGGTGAGAAAGGAAATGATGAAGCGGTGATCGGAGACTGAGAGGGAGAGCCGGTGGCTTTCCGACGGTGAGTTCCCACGGAAACGATGACTCGGATGGATCGCCGCCTGCCGACAATTAGCATTGGCGTCCGTGCCACTCCACATGCCGGGCCGGGAGTGGGCCGTGGGCGGTCCTGCTCGGTGGCGTTGGGTGGTGTACGGGCCGAATCCGGATCGGACTAAAAAATAATCACGGTCCAATTTTGGTGGGCTGAATACCATGATGGTCCATGACTAGTTTTACCACTGGGCCTCCATTCTCTAAGGTCCTCGACATCGATCAACAAAGCATATGACCTCTCAAAAAAAAAACATATGATGGCTCAATATTGCGATTATTAATTAATTCCTCCCTGTGTCTAAAAAAATTAATTAACTCCCCTGATCCTCATGAAAAATTAGTTAAGTCCCCTATAAAATAAAAATTACGAAAATATTCGGGTGAAGGCGTCCGTGGGCGACTCCTGTCCCGGACGCTTCTTCCCTAGGCCTGCTGTTGTCTACCTTCGTTCCTTCACTAATAATGAAAAAAATACAGAGCGATAGTTCCCCAGCTCGCATCGTGCAACGGCTGTCACAGCGTTCCCCACCGTCACGGGCGCCTCCACCGTGTCGCCTGCCCACTCCCGTGCTCTGTTTTGCTTCGCTGTCGACGGTCACCCCGCACTCCGTCGCTCCTGCCGCTTGCTCCGCCACCCACCCCGCTTGACAGTGCGAGCACCACCACCGCTCCCACGCTGCGGCCGCTAGCTGGCCACCGAGGTCGTTGCGTGCATGCTCGTGCCCGACGATGCCAACAAGCGCTGCTAGCGCAAAGGAGAAATGCCGAGCCCTGGCGCGGAAGCCCTCCGGCCTCACCTCCTGCTACGGGCTATGGCTACGGCGCAACGATGCAAACGCGTGGAGGAGGCTGCACCACGATACGATGCATGTTTCAAGTGTATATTTTAAACGTTTCAGATGTTTTAGAGGTATATGTTGCAAGTGTTTTCATTCGGTTGTTGCAAAAGTAGATCGGGATGTTGCAACGTTTGTACACATATGTTGCAAGTTTGTCCCCATTGTTTCACCTGTTTTCTAGACGTATGTTGCAAGTGTGTTTATGTGGAGTTGCATATGTTTCACACATATGTTGCAAGCGTTTTATCTGAATGTTGCGTATGTTTGCAATGTTTTTCAATGTTTTTTCACGTGTTTCAGACGTATATTTCAAGTGTTTCATCTGTCTTTTTTTGTATGTTGCAATTGTTGCATCCGGATGTTTTAAAAGTAGATCAGGTGTTGCACATGAGATGCGCGTGGGAAGCGAGAGGGGTGCGAGCAGTCCCCGCGTGGGCGCGGTTGACGCATACGTGGTCGAGCGACGTCTGGACGATGCGGGCCCATGAGTGGACGCGCGAAATTGGACTACAGCCACGGGTGTCCATCCGGCCGGGCGCGTGGAGCGGGCTCTCGCGTGGGCACGGGTGACGCATATGTGGTCGAGCGACGTCCGGGCGACGCGGGGCCACGAGTGGACGCGCGAAATCGGACTACAGCCACGGGTGTCCATCTGGCCGGGCTAGCAGTGCCGTAAAAATTATCAATATCGTCCTACTGGTTTCTCAATTCGAGCACTCTGCAACCTCTGGTACTATACTAACAGCTGGATACTTCTGCATTTTTTTTTTGATGAAAATACTTCTGCATTGTTGGACATTATTACAGAGATCCTAAGACATGGCGGCGGTTGCAATCGCGACCCTATCCCTCACTTCAGTTCCTTGCAAAAAGCGGCTCCGGCATGGTGCCAGCGCCTTCAACGCACAGCAATTCATTAACTCCAGCTCACACAGCTACTCTCTCACTCTAAGACCAAGACTGCCAAAACCGCGAGCCGCGAGCCGGGTCATCGTCGCGCAGGCCGGCAACGGCAGCGGCAGCTACAAGGTGGCCATCCTTGGCGCGGCGGGAGGGATCGGGCAGCCGCTCTCTCTGCTGGCCAAGATGTCCCCGCTCGTCTCGGCGCTGCACCTGTACGACATCACCAACGTGGAGGGCGTGACCGCCGACCTCAGCCACTGCAACACCCCGGCGCAGGTCGCCGGCTTCACAGGTAAAGACGCGCTCGCGGGCTGCCTGTTGGGCGCGGACGTCGTGGTCATCCCCGCCGGCGTGCTCCGGAAGCCCGGCATGACGCGGGACGACCTGTTCAGCGTCAACGCGGGCATCGTGCGGGACCTCGTGGCGGCGGTGGCAGACCACGCGCCGGGCGCGCTGGTGCACGTCATCAGCAACCCGGTGAACTCGACGGTGCCGATCGCCGCCGAGGTGCTGAAGCAGAAGGGCGCGTACGACCCGCGCAGGCTGTTCGGCGTCACGACGCTGGACGTTGTCCGCGCCAACGCGTTCGTGGCGGCGCGGAAGGGCCTCCCGGTCGCGGACGTGGACGTGCCGGTCGTGGGCGGCCACGCGGCTGCCACCATCCTGCCGCTGCTGTCCAAGGCGCGGCCCAAGGCCGCCGCGGCGGCGTTCACGGACGAGGAGGTGGAGGAGCTCGCCGCCAGGATCCGGGACGCCGGCACCGAGGTGGTGGAGGCCAAGGCCGGCGCCGGGTCCGCCACGCTGTCCATGGCGTACGCCGCCGCGCGGTTCCTCGAGGCGTCCTTGCGCGGCCTCGACGGCCACGACGACGTGTACGAGTGCGCGTACGTGCAGTCGCAGGTGGTGCCGGAGCTCCCGTTCTTCGCGTGCAGGGTGAAGCTCGGGAGGGGCGGCGTGGAGGAGGTGCTGGCCTCCGAGCTCAGGGGGCTCACCGACTACGAGGCGCGCGAACTGGAGGATCTCAAGCCCAGGCTCAAGGCCAGCATCGACAAGGGCATCGCGTACGTGCAGCAGAACCAGGAAGCAGCGTTGAACTGAGTTGAGCCTCTGCTGCCTGCTGGGGCTGGCAGCATCAGTTTTGTACGTTGCACAGTGCACGCCCTACATTCTTTTTAAGTATGAAATCTGAATCTTAGGGAGGTTCAAATGCCGAAAACACAACGGTACTCTGCCCTCAAACGAGAAATTCAGCTCGGCTTCGTTCAAGCAGATCAACAGAACCAAATGCCTAGAACGGTCGGAACTTGACCATGTCGGTGCACCCACGATGCTCCGGCGGTGGGCAGCGGACGAGCGTCCGTCCGTCTAGGCCGACGCACTGGAACACCTGGTACAGCTGCGTCTCGTTGCGCCCGTTGCGGTTGCACTCCACCATCGGCGCGGAGCCCGTCGCCGCGGCCACGGCGTCCCGGATGCTGCTTGAACACACTAAAGTTGTCCCTGTTCTTGCACGACAGCGTCCCCCAGTTCCGGCGCAGGTCGCTGTCCAAGTCACTGATCTGCAGAGTGCGAGTGCCGAGTGCCGTCAGACCATGGCCATGGTGGATGGTGCAGAGTGCGAGGATATCTGTGGGTGCACCGGTACTGAATGGTAGTGCACCGTGTACGTACCTGCGACAGGTCGAGAGGAGCGGTGGCGTTGCAGGAGTCCGGCCAGCAACTGGTCTTGTTGGGGTTCACGGCGTCTGGCTGGCACGCGGCGTACTCTGGCCAGAGGCCGTGGATGCCGAAGTCCGCCGCCGGCTTCCCGCCGCCCGGGAAGCAGCAGGTGGCATTTGTGTTTGTGTTGCAGTAAGAGCCGGGCCACTGTACAAGCAAGTAACCGCAGTCAAAACAGTGTGCATGTTGCATATCCAATTATGGGTTCTGTTCGCTTCGCTAAAAAAAAAAGTGAAAAAAACAAGACTATTGGTGGCAATGGCAATGGCTTAATTTGTTGTGAGAGAAAAACACTACGAGAGGACCGAAAAAACAATGTTAGGTGAAAAGACGGATTATAAGCGAAAAATACAAACTTTTTAAAAAGAACCATCCAAAACAATCTGCTGGACGTGGTGGCAATGGCAATCGACCGGAGATTGTAGCTACCTGCTGAACGTGGGGGACGAAATCGAAATCGGTGGCCGCGGAGGCGATGACGAGAGGAAGCAGCAGAACGGCGACGGCGAGGGGGCAGTGGAGGGCCATGTTAGGTAGTAGTACCTCTTAAACGTAGATCAGGGGATAATTAGACTTAGATGGAGAACTGTTGATGAGGCCCCGGCTGCGACGGGCTTTTGTTCATCCAACGCAAGCCAAGCTTATCCACCGTTGATCTCCATCGAACCGGCAGAATCAATCGGACCGGAGGCGGGCCCAAAGGGAGCGCCTCAAGGCGTGCCACAGCAGGCTTTCGACCGAGCCAGCCCCAAAGTTGCGTTACCTCTGCGCAAAGGCGGACGCGCCTTTTGTCTTGGTCACCTGCGTGCAAGGGAGCTAGGCCGGGCGCCTTTTGCCGTTTTGGGCCGAGAACCAGCCAAGATTGAGCCCAGATTTTTTTCTCTTTTTTCTAGTAAATGGTTATTTCTGGGAAATGAAAAATGGCTCAAAGAAAATAGAAGAAATATGAATTTTACCCACAATGTGAATTTTCCTGTGGATAAAATTCACAAATTATCTTTAAGTTTTCGCTGCAAAGTTTAATGCTGATTATCTTCTAATTAAATTCGAACCAACGGGAGAATTTAATTTGAAGAGCAGTCATATTTAGAAAATTATGATTATGTTGATCCTCTAATTAAATTGGAACCAACGGGAAAATTTCATTAGAGGAGTAGTCCGTTTTTGTTTATGTAAGATTATGGTATTGTTATTTTCTGACCGACGTTGATGATGACAATATTATAACAAATTTAAGTCTGAAGTTTAAATCTTTGGTAAATTTTACACCAACGTGGTGAATTTTTCAGAGAGTAGATAAGGACCAAGAAATGCTCCTAAACTAAAAGAATGTATTTTATTATTAAGTTTCCGTTGTAATGAAGTTGATTATCTTCTAATTAAATTTGAACCAACGAGAGAATTTAATTTTGAAGTGTAGTTATATGGATTTCAAGTTAATTTATGAGTTTTATGCATTAATTCTATTTTCTGCCCAACGGTGATGTAGAATTGATGTAGAAGCATATTGTATGTTTTATTTTAAACGATGAGATCACTCGGCTGCATGCCAACGGGCTGCAATGCTGTGGTATGTGAATAAAAATGCTTGAGTCAAGTCAGTTTAGGACAGTTTATATTAGTTTACTAATTTTCTGATTAAATAGGAACCAACGGGAAGATTTAATTGAAAAATAAAGTATAAGTGAGTGTTTTAGTCATCATGACTAAGTTTTCATATAGATGTATCCCGCATGGGGAGAAGTTTTGGCATAGTAATTATGCTAGTCCATTCAGCATGGCGGGAGAAGTTTTGTGATGATTCACATGTATTGTATCCCGCATAGCGAGAGAAGTTTGGGTAGCTCTTATGTTGTTCTAGTGTTGATCTTGGCACAATAGAAATGCATAGTCATAGTCAATACTAACCAAAAGATAAGAAAAGATGCAAGTGTGACTTGCAAAAGTATCGCTAATGGCAGACCTCGTTGAGTTCTTTAAGTGAATTAAGAAAAGTGTACTCCTAAACGGATCAAGAAATAACTTTGTTTACATGACACAATCATGTGAATGAAGTAAGTCATAAATGTCTCCTCGTTTACAGGCTTTCTGAATAGTTATCGAAATCATGGCAGTAAAGTTCATGCCATATTTCGAGAAGGAGAAAAATATAAAGATCAATTAAGAAAGATACTATTCATTAAGAGTGAGATAAAAATTAATTAAGATGAATGTGACCGTCGGAGGAGTACAACGGTTACAACAATGATACCCCTAAATAGAGAAATAACTAAATTTCTGGATTTTTTTAAAGTTCCGACAGGAAAATAGCGTAGTCAGTCTCAAAGATATTAATGTGGTGCTTAAAGCGTCATTTGAGATTTTAACGAATTAAACCCAAAATAAGATATTTGCGGATACACTATCTTTAGAAAAAAGATGGGAAGATCTGGGGAAGTTTGGTATGTAGAGGTATGTAGATCTAAGACTTGTTGAGAAGAGAGACTATGTGCCCACTCTAGTGACTCAGGAGCAACAAGTTTCTCAATACCTGTTGATGTTGCATGACCAATACAACACCTGTTGTTAGCTCTTCGAAGAAGATGAATAACGTAAATAAGGATCTTATTATACAGGAGCCTGTAGAATCAATTGTCTCTTGACAATGAAGAGCAACAACAGCTCCATATGAAAGTGCCAGTAGCTGAGGCCCCAGAAGGTCTCAAAGAATTAGTAAATCAGTTTTCTAATGACTATGAAGTTTATGTTAGTAAAGAAATTCAAATAGAGGGTGACCCCACCACATTTGAAGAAGCCATGAGAAGCGTTTACTCGTTTAAGTGGCAAGAATCTATGGAAGCTGAAATGAATTCGATGAATACCAACGATGTTTAGGACTTAGAAGTAATTCCTAATGGAACCAAAACAGTAGGCTGCTAATGGGTCTACAAGACAAATTATGACTCTAAAGGGAATATAGAAAGATATAAAGCACAACTTGTAGCAATATGCTTTACGTAAAGAGAATGAAAAGATTACAATGAGAGTTTTATCTCTAGTCTCATGCAAGGACTCTTTTAGAATCATAATGGTGTTCATGGCACATTATGATTTAGAAATACATCAGATGGATGTAAAGACGGCATTCCTAAACGGGGATTTATATGAAAACATTTACATGGCACAACCTAAAAGATTTTGTCGTGGGAGAAAAAAACATATGGGATGCCGTCTGTACAAATCCATTTATGGGTTAAACGTAAGTATCTAGACAGTAGCATTTGAAGTTGATGAAACGATAAGGAAGTTTGGGTTTTAAAGAAAATGAGAAGGACAATAGCATTTATGCGAAGTTCAAGAATGAAAAATTCATTTTCCACATCCTGTGAATAGATGACACTCTACTCACTAGTAGTGATGTTAATCTGTCATTGGAGAAGAAGTAGTTTTGTCCTCAAGTTTCAATGTGAATGATCTTGGTGCAACGTTATTGGTTCTCGGAATCGAAATTCACCGAGATAGATGAAAAGGGGTATTAGGACTATCGCAAATGCATACTTAGAAAAGATTCTAAAGAAATAAAGTATGCATACGAGTAAACCTACGCCTGCTCCTATAGTCAAGGGTAATAGTTTTGAAAACTTTAAGTGTTTCAGGAACCGATATGAGATCGATCAAAAGAATATGGTTTTATATGCTTCAGCTGTTGGAAGCTTGATGTGTGTACAAGTACAAGTAAGAACTTACCCTGACGTAGTTTATGTATCCGAGATATTTTGGCAAAAGTCCAGTTCAGATATAGATCACTGGAATTGAGTTGACAATGTCTTGCAATTTTGCAAAGTATAATAAGCCTCATGTTGAGTAAGAAAGAATAAGTACTCTCAAATAGTTGAGGGTACAAAAAGTTAAGTCTCGGCGAGATGTGTAGTGAAATTCACAGTAGTTGCTAACACTCGCAGTTGGAGTATTATTGTGAAAAAGCTCTAGAGAAACAGTTGTGGTGTCATCAGTGATGCATACCATAGTATAGCTTGTCATGAGGCTTAAGGAACAGGCAAAAAGAGGTTAAGGGAACTTGTATCCAGATTTAATAATGATAGACAACAACAGTAACCATTTAAAGTAAGTTAACTCATAAGACAATAAGTCAAGTGTGTTGTCAAACACATTGACACTAAGGTATATGTTGTAAAGGAGAAAATCCAGAATCATGTTGAAAGCATTGAGCACATAAGTACCGAGTGAGTACTTACGGATCCGCTTACCAAAGGCTAACCACCCAGTGCGTTCAGAGAACACACAATCAACATGGGTTTATAGAAAAACCTATAATTTCTGGATACTAAGGGCCTAGTTGAGTATCTGTTTCAAAACAGAGAAGTGCGTTGTAGCTGTTT